AACAATCAATTACTTACGCTCAGGAAGTAAAAAATGCGTTCAGGTAACAAGTTATTCTATATTTTTGGTACGAAACCTACCCTAATTTCACTGCAAACTCAACGGATAACAACATGTTATAGTTTTTTAATTCCTCAGCTTACGTTCGGGAAGTAAATATAATTAAATTTTTCACATCTTTTCGTTACAGGCTCTCCATACGTCAAATTTAAAAAATTGGTCTAAAGAGTTTAGACAGTACTTCCCTCTCTGCCGGAAACTTGACGACTGCATGCCTATTATGTTTTTTTTCTCATTACATTTTTGTAGTGGGAATTTAAAAAAAAATTGTGATGACGTCATCAACATTTTTGCAAGGACACGTATATCAGTTGGGATAGATGTAGTGTAATACTAAGAATAAAATTATTGTGTTCCCAAATTTTCGGGAAAATGAATTGGGTCGTTTTGAATATTGATTTCTTATAATCAATAAAATAACGAAACAATTTACTCACGTATACGGCGCCGGTGTGTAATATCTAGAGAGCGGATTTCTGTCGGGCTAGGCAAGGCCAAACTCGGTACGGCTCGCACGGGATGCGAATTCATTGCCGTTGCGGACTGCACTTCGTTTATTTGAGATTAGAATAACGTTGTTTCGTTGCACTCTGCTGTTAATTCCCGTTCTCATTTACTTAGCCGTTTGATTAATAAATCGTTAATTATATTTATGGAATCCAGCACGTCCCCCCCTATAATCGTGACGTAGCCCGACAGAAATCCGCTGTCTAGTAATATGAGGGGCAACTGAAAATCGTTTATGTATAAACATTCTTAATTTAAGATGACAAGCGTAACAGCATACGTGAGAGTCAAACAGAAAAACTGTAAACAAAACGACCATCGGTTTTATTCCTTCGACTTCCGCTTATTATATAAAACATTGCGTTTTATTTTAATTCTTGACGGTGAAATTCACAATTGGTTGATTATAAACATGTCTATTTCGCATTCGCGGAACCAAGTGACCGCATAAAACAAATGCAGGTCTGTAATGTTAAAGTCGATGTAAATAAGCGTGCTACCCTTATGTTTCAACCGAGTTTTTCCTTTAACAAATTTTGTGTCTACCAAATTGGGTTGGTTGGGGTGTAATACTAATAATAAGTGTTGCCTTTAATTTAATCAATAAAATAAATTGACTTCATTAATTTTTTTGAACCACCTCTTAAGAAAATCTAAAAAATATGAATGGAATGATAAATCACAAGTACAAACTCATCATATTTTTTGCATTTTAGATACGATTTATTCGGCAAACTTTTGAGCTGACGTCATCAGTTTTTTGTAGAAGATAACCAAATATATTTTGACTAAAAATTTATTATGCTCTTTATAACCTTACAACATCTGCAAGATTTCAAAGCATTCGGTTTTGTAGTTCCTGATTAAATCAATAAAATAAATTTACGCATTCATTAATTTTTTTGAGTCACGCTGTATATGCAAATCGAAAAAATTTGAATGGAATGATAAATCACAAGAAGAGACTCACCATATTTTGTACATTTTAGATAGAATTTATTCAGCAAAATTTTGTGGTGACATCATACATTTTTTAGGGGGGACGACCAAATACGTTTTGATCAAAAATTTACCATGCTTATGATAATTTTAAAATATCTTCAAGATTTCGAAGCATTCGGTTTTGTAGTTCCTGAGTAAATCAGTAAAATAAATTTACGCTTTCATTTATTTTCTTGAATCACCCTGTATATGCAAATCCAAAAAATATGAATGGAGTGATAGATCACAAGTACAGACTGATCATATTTTGTACATTTTAGATATGATTTATTCGGCAAATTTTCGAGCTGACGTCATCAAGTTTTTGGAGGGGATAAGCAAATATATTTTGACTAAACATTTATTATGCTCTTTATAACCTTAAAGCATCTGCAAGATGTCAGAGCATTCCGTTTTGTAGTTCCTGATTAAATCAATAAAATATATTTACGCATTCATTAATTTTTTTGAGTCACTCTGTATATGCAAATCCAAAAAATATGAATGGAGTGATAAATGACAAGTACAGGCTCATCATATTTTGTACATTTTAGATATGATTTATTCGGCAAACTTTCGAGCTGACGTCATCAAGTTTTTGGAGGGGATAAGCAAATATTTTTTGACTAAAGATTTATGATGCTCTTTATAGCCTTAAAACATCTGCAAGATTTCAGAGCATTCGGTTTTGTAGTTCCTGATTAAATCAATAAAATATATTTACGCATTCATTAATTTTTTTGAGTCACCCTGTATATGCAAATCCAAAAAATATGAATGGAGTGATAGATCACAAGTACAGACTCATCATATTTTGAACATTTTAGATATGATTTATTCCACAAACTTTTGAGCTGACGTCATCAAGTTTTTGGAGGGGATAAGCAAATATTTTTTGACTAAAGATTTATGATGCTCTTTATAGCCTTAAAACATCTGCAACATTTCAAAGCATTGTGGTTAGCAGATTAAAAATTAAATTTCAAAATATTGTTTTATAATTTTGATTTTTTCCAAAAATCTGGACGTTTCGGGTGAAAAGTCGATTCAGAGTTGTAAACTACATGTGTAGGACTATGTTATTTTATACAATTGAAAACCCATTTACTATGTACAATTTTGAAGTGACGTCATCGCATTAGTGGTGGGGATGATTAGACAAATTTTGGTTAGCGTTTTACCATCTACATGATATTCTTAATATAAGTACAAAATTTCACAACAATCGGTCGAGTACTTTAGGAGATTATCTGTCTAATAAAAATCCGGGACGGCAGACGGACAGACGGACAGACGGACGGACAGACGGACAGACGGACAGACGGACAGACGGACGGACGGACAGACGGACAGACAGACGGAAATGGGAGACCTATTTCTTCGTCTTCTAGGGGTCATGAAAGATCGAGAAAACGTAAAAGTAGAGAGTCGGCCGACGGACTCGATTACAATACTTCCTTTGCTTACGCTCGGGAAGTAAAAATCATTTTAGAATGATGTATGATAAACATTTTTAATGTTTTTATTCTTTTGAGACATTAACATGTTTTTTGCCGCTTCGGTCTTCTAACTTTTTAATTTTTAGAAAATTGTAAGTATTTCGATTACACATTGCTAATAGTTATATAATACTTAGTCGAAGCATGAATAAAATGACAAGAGCTCTGTACATTCAAACAATGGCAACTAATTTTACGTTATGTACATATACACTAGACCACGAAGTTAAGTAATAACTTTAAAAAACTTTTCTTTACAAACAATAACGATCTTCCTTCTAAAACACTTCAATATTGTTGTTATTCAGAAAGATAACTAAGACTCATCTATAACAAGGTATATCTTTGATATAAAAGTTTGTGCACATTATCCAGAGGTCGATTCATCTTCTATTCAACTTCGGGATTATTGCCTCAGAATGTTATTTAAGTAATGATCAAGAACAGGTATAGTGCAATTCGTATATAGATTACATTTCAGCTTATTTCAGCTCTACCGTGGAAGGAAAGATAGCACTATCATACTCTTTACATATTTGATTAACAGGTATACTTGGACGTATTTTATATATTTTTACATAATGACCGGCATTCAGACAAGACTTCTGTCATTACGGGTACTAAAACCAAGTAGTGATATGCATTGGTTAGCTAAATAAAAAACTTTTGAGATCCTAGAACTACAGCACACAAATTCACCCACTTATTATGTTGTCTATTTTATGGGGTTTGTGGTTCAAATGGGCCCTTGCTATATTATTATTAAACAACCTGATTATAAAAGACCGTACATCAAGTTGTTTTTGAAATATTTGTTACTGCATTTTTAATTAGAATTTGTCGTTTTCTTGAGGTAGGTTTCAGATCTTTTTGGAACTGAATTATTAGTTGCCTACTTATCAAGGTGAAAAACATCGAAAAAACGGCAAAAGTTGCTTTGTGATGAGTCACAATAGATCATCACAACGAAGAGTCAAAATTCATGAAATTTCAAAGTCGACTTGACGAAATCTTTTATTACTATATACAGTGTTATTCCGAGGTTTGACTAAAAATTTAAAACGCAACCAACAATACAACTGCATAGCAGTCTTTGCTGTTTATCATATTTTTTAGTAAAACACAGCTAGCTCTTTAGTTTTGATAATTTGGATATAAAATAAATAAAAAAAAATCAAAAACAAACAAATTCAGAACAAGAGCTCGTCAGGGTATCACCTGTGGATACTGTGCTCTATACAAATGTCAAGCAGTAACCGTATTTTTTGCAAACACCATACATCAATTTTTTTAAACATATTTGTGCATCAATTCTACCGAAGTGTCAATTTGAACGTGGCAGTATTGGTCAATATGTCTGCGTTGTTATGACAAAACAGATGACCATGTTTTACTTAAAAAAATGGTATGAAACATCAAGGATGGTTTTAAAATTGTATTTTTGGTTGTGTCTTTCACTTTTAGGCGCATAGCTTATCGTGAATAACCATATACCTTGTATTAAATGCATTAATTTTGAAAATTATACGTTCTTACAAATCATTTATATTAAAAAAAAATTATTTGCCCCCGAAACTTCTCATCATAAACTGGCGACACGGTTGAAAGCTGTCTGCTTTTAAAGTGAAAACTGAGACTATAAAAGAATTAATTTTAGGTTTTCTTAAAAAAGTTCCGTAACATTAATAAACATGAATTCAAAACTATTAAGCTTTACCACAGTACCCTACACCCGTCTTCATGCCGAAAAAATGTAAAAGCAATGTAGGCTGATTTAACTCCTCACATTTTTTTCTTTGAATTTAAAATTTTTGCGTTTCAGAGAATTTAAACAACAACTAAGATTCTGTGAGACTGAATAACTTCACTGTAATGTTGCTTCAAGCATCAAACCCTGCTTAAGACTTCTCCATTGGCCACCACAGTAAGAGAGCAGACTGGTTGAAATCCTACCGTTTCGCCTACCTTCTTCTGCCATTGCAACACATACGGCACAGGATGTCCATCCGGAAATTCCACATGACAGTTGAATACAACTGATTCTCCCAAAATAGCTGTAATGTGGATGTAACCATCTTGGGTACAGAATGCTGTAAAATAAAAAAATTATATACATTTATTTTCTGACATCGTTGAAAATAGTTGCATTTCATAACATAATTTTCTGATGACGTCATCAATATTTTCTGGATTCGATTAATAAAATAAATTGCTCCATTCATGTAGAGATAGAATGACAGGAATGAGCAACCAATGTTAACAAAACGCGGGCAAAAGAACTCCACTCAAGAGCCGTTTATAACCCTTTCTGTATTACATCAGAAGCGGTCGGTTGTCAACAGAGGATCAGAGGCCGTGCACTTTGGCTAAGAATGGGTTCACAGTAGTCTGTGGTTCACAGGTAGCAAATAATCAAAGAATTTTACCCTTACCCATTCATAACCCTTATCATTAACATGGATTAAATACATACATATGTACGTAATCAATGTCAGTAATTTGCCAGATGTTAATTTTTGTATCGTATGTTCAGCCCCTCCATAAGCGCTTTCGAGCACGCCATTCGAACAACCAGTTTCTCAGAGGAGCTAGAAAAATCATTTATGATCGAACGCCCGGTATCAGGCGCTTTTTCAAATTATCTTACTTCCTCTCATTCTACCTCCACGCTCATTTGTTACTTTTTTAAGCCACACTATAAAGTTATGCTAAACGGACGAACGTCAACGAAATTTAGAGTTAAAAACGGCGTGAGACAGGGAGATCCATTATATAGACAACATTATTCAATGTAGTATTAGAAGTAGCGATACGAGAAAATGGAATAGAAGAGCTAGTGGATGGTATTTGCGGACGATGTTGTAACAACGACTAGAATAGAAGAAAATTCAAAAAAGGAGTCAGTAAAGGTCAAAGGATTGATCATCAACGACAGTAATACAAAGTTAATGAAAAAAGAAGAAATATTATGAACAAATCAAGATGAAAATAAAACGGAAGGTTCGAAATGCGAATTGGACGTGGTAACAAAATAAAACTACTTGGAAGCGGAATTGACAAATATGTACAAGTGAAAAAAATTTGTCCAAAGTTATTTCGACAGAACTTTTCTCCCCCCTGAAATACGAGTACAATAAAACAAATCCAGCTTTTTCGAAAAATTACAAAATTTGATTATGGGAATTTAATTTTTTTATGAGAACCCTTTTACGTTAAAATAAAGGTATGTATGTAACGTTAAAGTAAATGTAAACAGGCGTGTTGGGCGTACGTTCCAGTGTAATACTAATGATAACAGTATTGTATTCTCAAATTTTCGGAAAAACGGAGTGAGCCGTTCCCGATTTAATCAATAAAATAAATTGACTCATTCATTAATTTTTATGAGTCACCCTGAATATGAAATTTAAAAACTTTAATATGTAGGAATATCCGGGATTCTTCCGATTTTTTCGGTTGGCAGAACCGTTACACCAACTAGCGGGAATTTTAAATTCTACGCTTACAAATACAATAATAAATCCCAAATAGAGATTCATCATATTTTATTATTATTATTATTATTATTATTATGAGTAATCCCTCAACAGGCTGAGAGCCCAATTACTGAGGAATAAAAACTAGAAAATAAAGGCAAAAACAACTAAGTTATTATAGAATTAGACACTGAAAAACTGCTTAATTTTTGCTGGCGAAGTACTAAATATATCAATTTCCGATTCCACCTCTCTATAGTTTTGAAGCATTTGATATACTGGAGACGATTTCAATATGTTTGTTCTTGGGACAGGCATATGCAACAAAGAATATGATCTTAAACCTGGTTTTAGCACACGTAGCTTTAGGATCTTAAGAAGATCTTCACATTTGATACGATAATTTAAAATATTATGTAACATTATGATAGAAGCTGCTTTTCGCCTGCAGACCAAACTCTGATAGCCAAATCTACGTAACAGTATATCATTTGGAATTCCTCTTGTAGGGTAAACACCATCACAGATATAAGACAGGAATTTTAAGAATCGACGCTGCATTTTTTCCAACAGAGAAATGTAGGTTTGATAAAAAGGGCTCCATACCACCGACGCATACTCCAAGACGGATCTGACGTATGATAAAAAGAGAAGCCTTAGCACATCAAGGTCTTTAAATTCCGCCGCGTTGCGAACAACAAACCCTAATGATTTATGCGCCGATGTCGAGATAACCTCATAGTGTTTGTGGAAACTTAATTTAGCATCATACGTGACACCCAAGTCACATACATAATCAGGGCGTTGCAGGACTTTTTGATCCAAGACGTAGTTGTATACAACATTTGAAAGTTTATTCGAATATGACTTGACGATGCATTTATCGGCGTTTAACAGCAAATTGTTTTTTTCCGACCATACCAACACACGATTCAAGTTGTCTTGCAGACGAATACAATCCAAAGATGACTGTACGCGAAAAAAGATTTTCAAATCATCTGCATAAAGCAAGGAAGGAACGTCCAAAACATCTATAATGTCATTGATATACATTATAAACAACAATGGTCCCAAGACCGAGCCCTGCGGCACACCAGATGTCTGTGGAAACTGACGTGAGGAGCAACTATTACAAAATACATACTGATATCTGTTGCTTAGATAAGATTTAAAGACACTAAGCAAACCATCGGAAAAGCCAAAACTCTCCAGTTTATGCAGTAGAATACGATGATCAATGCGATCAAAAGCCTTGCTAAAATCCAAATAAATGCAATCAACTTGAAGATGTTTGTCAAACATTTCTGAGATATATTGCGTCTTGATCATCAAATTCGTGACAGTCGACCTTCCTGTAATGAAACCATGCTGCATCGGTGACAAGTGCTGCGAAACATGAGAAAAGATGCGAGCATGCATTTGCACATTTTGGATAGGATTTGTTCGGCAAAATTTTGAGATGATGTCATTCGACACGGATTCACACACCACAAGTACAGGAATATCTTATTTTATAAAAGAAAACTTTTTATTATAAATTTTGGAGATGACGTCGTCAAATTGTTGGTGGGGATGATTAGCCAAATCTTGGTTAGTACATATTTACATGATATTTCTAACATACGTACAAAATTAGACAACACTCGGTCCAGCAGTTTCGGAGATTACGTGTCTAATAAAAATGGATACAGACAGACGGACGGAAACGGGAGACCACTTTTTCGTACTCTACAGAAAATATGAAAGTGGCAATTCGGCAGATGGACTCGATTACTTACTTCCTTAGCTTACGCTCGGGAATTAAAAATTGAAGGAGTATTACTTCTTTTTAATGCAGTTAAGAGACGTGAGTATAGAAGAGTAGATTGTTTATTAAATATTACTAATTGCATAAAAAACAATTACAAAAATAATGATGTTAGTGTGATTAAACACTAACATAATGATGTTTTGATTTTAAGAGAGGTGTACAATCTAGGTATTGCACAACGAGGAAGGGGTTATTGCCATACTTGTAGGTAGAAGGTTTTAGCTCCACCCCCGAAAAACCCCTCGTAAGTCGGCATACCGACACTCAGATGATTCTGTTTGTAACACTCTTCATGTAACTCTCGAACCACAAGTATCTCGAAACAAAGTAAACGTATTTTTATTGTTACTGGGTGTTTTATTCAATCTATCAACATTCGACTTTAACGAGTCAAAACAAGAGGTGCAGCTGAACAAAATCGCAGCAAAGTGCGAAAAAGGAGAACTATTAGGACGTCATAAAAAAAAACAGGCAACGGGTAAAACCACTGATTCATGTTAATAAAAGGCAGAACGCCGAGATTCGAAATGTTATCTACGAAATGTATAAAAAAAAGTATATTTTTTATACATATAGTTATAGTGCACATTTCTTTCTTTCATACTATAATTACTAATTTTAGCAGAACACGTTACTTGAACCACCTTGCAAAATAAACTATCAGAAACTGAGATTTCTACTGCTTGTATAGCTTCGTTATGGAAAGTTTTGCGCAATATTGGGTTTCGTTACAAACAAGATGATCCGAGACCTGAGTTCATGGAATTGCCCAATGGCGTCATGAAACGTCACACTTTTCTCCAAGAATTTGAAAAACTAAAAAATGAGAGATTGTTCCGATTTGTTTTCTTTTTTAGACGAGACATGGATTTTCCAAGATAGTACCATCGGTTATTCCTGGCAGGATTCAAGCGTGAAAAGCCTACAAAAAAACTAAAACTGGAGGTGCAAGGTAATTACATATATACATATATGTTTGAAAACTATATGAACATAATATTTTAATAAAACAGAATACATATTTTCATTTGCGACACCGAACTGGTATTCTCGTTTAATACAAATGATGGTGATTATCATAGCGACATGGACCAAAATAATTTTTTACATTCGTTCAAACACCAACTACTGTTAGCCAAATTAGAAGAACCATCTCTTATCATCATAGACGGTAAACCCAAATTCAACGCCAACGTGGTGGTTCCGTACGTAGCAATGACGGTACCGTTTGCCGCGGAAAATTCATATGCGGATTTCATACACGGTTTTAGCAGCAGGGCATATGGGAACACACATAAATCGGCGCCGGTGTCGATGAGGAATTTTTTCCCTGTGGTCCTCTCGGTGACGAAGAAACGGGGCGACGTTGTTGTAGGGGTAGTGGGGAAGGCGTCAACGACCGTCGTTAACGACTGCCCTCGGCGTTTCCCGCCGGTACGGAACTGTACCTACACACACGGCTTGTCGCATCTTCTTGACTTGTCGCCGAAACGCCTGTAATACCAGCATATACCGCTGTCGCTCTTCACTCATTGTTGCGATCGCAATTCGACACAGGCATTTTCGATGGCAGTTTACCATAAATTTGTGGCCGGCATTGTATATGATAGTCTTACAGGACCATTTGAATTACTCCCCGGATTGACGGGTGCTAATTATCTTCAGTTTTTGCGATGTGATTTGCCACAACTGCTACAGAAGATGCCTGTAGACTGTCGTAGTAGTATGTGGTTTTTACATGATGGGGCTTCAATCCACTTCAGCCGTATGATGCGTCGATTTTTAGATGCAAATTGTTATCCAT